CACAATTTAAAGGAAGTAATTTTTACTATGAGCACCTCCAGGACACCACCTCCTTCAGATCTTCAGCTCTTGGCCTCTCTTTCAAACAGCAGAATTCCTCGGTTTGGAGAAATAGCAGCCATAACAGACTGGTCAATACACTGGTGAATCACACTATGAGCATCATGTAAGGCACACTAAGATCTACTCCCAGTTTCTGGTTACCAGTTTTGAGCCATATTCCTCCAGCCACACCCATGAAGGGAAAACACTATATTGCAAGAGTATAAGAAAATAATTAGTAATATTCAGCTGCCAATCAAAGCAGATATCACTGATGCTATAAACAACAGGCTTTGCTCCAGGCAGGACTGCCAGAAACTGATTGGATAACAAGTTCAGTCTGCTTCAGGCCTGGATGCAAGAATGATCCTCTATTGTTCCTCCAGAGTGTCACAACATTCCCTGCTTTACAGCTGAACCAAAAGGATTCAATCTACCTGGTAAGATCTGGTTAATCCTTAGTAGGATTAGGACTCAACATGGTAGGTGCACTAGCCTCCTCCATAAATGGGGAAAGCTCTCGTCGTCGGAATGTAGTTCCGGTGTGGAGTAGTGCCCTCTGAGTGCCTATCAGGGAAACCCCAGAGACTTTCTGTATGCAATTCCATCATGTATTGATTGTGTAAATAGTCTATCTTTGAATTTGTAAGTAAATAGTTTCATATTTGCTCACTGAGAATGTGATGTGCTTATTAACATTTTTGCCGTATGCCAAATAAATAATCCTTCAGACTGCTTCTTGCTCTAGAACAGGGGTTTTAACTTTTTTTGTGTGCCCTGGATGCCCCTGAAAGCTTGGTGTAACCGTCTCAGAAAAAAAGAATTTAAATGGGTAATATGCCATCCCAAAATGCATAGATATGAGCTGTATTAGAAAGGAAACCATACTGATCAAATATGGTTATCAAAATGTTAAAAAACAACAAATATATAGTAATATGTGTACTTTTTTACTCATTTCTTAAATCAATAGCAAGACTATACACACTCTTTTAAGGGCATAATAATTTTAGATAGTGAGGTTAATTAAAATTAACAAACATTTTTGGAGTCTGCAGACCATAATCATTTTGCCAACATACATTATTGTATTAAAAGCTAAAGTTCAGTTAGAGGTTAGGAAAAATAAATTGTAATATTTTCAGATCCATGTTCGCAGATCCCCTAAAAACAATTCACAGAGCCCCAGGGGTCCATGGACCCCTGATTAAAGTCTTTCACTTTAATTCATCCCCCTTCCAATGGTATGAACTCAGGGTAAACAAAATGTACTGTTTGGAGAGTAGAACTTCCCTTTGATCCTGCTGCTCTAGGGTGGTCTGGCAGTTTTCCAGGAGTTAATCTTCTGAACGGGAAACAATTTGTGGTATACAGGGAGTGGTGCCATTCTGAAAAAAACTTGTCTCATCTGGAATACCATCTTGAACACCACCAATTTTTTGATTTCGTGAACTAACTTTTACAAAACCACTGGACCATTGGCAGAATAGTATAGTCCAGAAAAGGAACAGAAGTACAAGCTTTTTCACATTTCTACACACTACTAACAATTGTGTTCCTATAACATCTAAGTGTGGTTTAAAGGTGCAACTGGATGAAACAGTCCATCATAGGGCAACAGCTTTGAACCAAGGTACTCAAATGGGCTACCTTGCAGAATGCATCCAAAATCTGGGACCCATAATTCCTGTAGAATTGAAATTTGGCAAATTTTATAAAACATTTTATGACATAAAAATTATCATATAATAGTTTATGACATAATACAGAACACCCTTAAACATTTCCTTTGCTGATGTTTCACTGTGCTATACAGTTCAACATGGCATATTTTCAAGGAGATACCTCTCTGAAGGTATTCCAACTTTTCAAGTGCTTTGAAAACTCTGCCATTATTGAAGGCATTGAGGAATCTGATAAAGAAATATCTCTGAAACAATGACCCAAGGGGTCATGGATGGTCCAGTTCTCTCTCTGCCTCTGTCTCTGTGTCTCCGTCTGTCTGTCTGTCTGTCTGTCTGTCTGTCTGTCTGTCTGTCTGTCTGTCTCTTTCTCTCTCTAACCTATACACCTGATGGATTGTGATCAATAAAATATTATAGGCAATATATGTGTGAGTCCTTAAGGTGCTATACTTCTGCCTGGGATATCCTATAGTTAAGACACATAACCTGAAATGCTCACAATTTTCCCCAAATGACTCTGAAAATTCTTTCATTCTCAAGGGCTGGGTACACACAACATCCTAAACATTAAACTTGGGTTATCAAAATATAATTGTGTTCTGGTCATATTCTATGCCGAAACTATATGTACACTGCTCACAAAAATAAAGGGAACGCAAACCCCTTCAGTTCCATGGTAAAATGTTCCCTTTATTTTTTTGAGCAGTATATCTTATGATAATGGCCTGGTTCATATCACGTACCACAATAATGATTGTATTCTGATTGTATATATGGAGTTAAATTTCAAATCTAGTGGCTGAATTCACAGGGCGTGTTTTAGGAGACAGCAACTTTCCAGTTTATTGATCAACCGCTACTGGCTGTTTGTACATGACATGGTGTCATGGTTTACTTGAGTAACAAATGGTTAGATTTGCACATTGTAATACATGATAAATTACTGTTTATTAACTATGGTAGCTGGACTCAAACAACCCACTAAGCTAAATCAAAACCCCATTATGGTTTAGCATATATGAATTAAATCAGTATAAAATTTGTACTGTTGTTGAACCCAACTGGAGGACACCAGTATTTTTTTCTTTTCCTAGAATTTTCTCGTAAGTGCAGGGTCCACTTTAAAAAAAGGTGGGTTTGGGGTTTTTTTGGGGATCCACTGAATATGGATCCATTGGTTGCAACAGGAATCGACTGAAGGGCTTTTCACCCAAGTCTGACACCATCATGGGTGAGCCAGAATGACTGGGCCAAAGTCACCCAGCCAGCCTTCATATCTAAGGCATGACTACAACTCACACTCTCCTAATTTCTAGCCTGGTGCCTTAACCATTTAACCAAACTTGACAACAGATTGGGAAAGGTGAATGCTAAGCAGTGACCTGGATGCTCAATTTAGAAAGGGGCTGTTCATAGGAGAAATCCCAAGGTTCAAATCCTCAAACCTCCAATAAAAAAAAGCAAAGAAACAAAACGCAACCATATTATAGGGGATGGGAGATACCCTCTTGAAAGTTGCCAACAGAGTCAACAATATTGTCCAAAATGGATTTACAGTGTATTTCAATTTTATTTATTAGATATAAATCCTGAAGTTCATACTGATCAAGGCAATGTACATAATCTTCTATTATTTTCCTCACAACAGAGCCTGGACCTAAGAACCTTAAGATATGGCAGCTTATTTTGCTTGTAGGATGAAAACTGTCCTTTTATGGGTTGTGGTTATACCATAGTGTGTGTGTGTGATACTTTCATAACATCCCTTTGTCAAGGGCAGCCAATTGCCTGAGCCAGTATCCGGAGTCGTGAAAACAAATATCTTATAATCAGCTGGTTATACTTGAGATAAAAAATTATTATCTATTAAATTTGTTTGCTGCCCTTCCCCCCCCCCCCCAAGGCAACTCTGGACAGCTTACAATATTAAGCTAATGATTTGCCCAGAAGCTCGTGCCCGTCCTGGCCTGCTTTCTCCAATGAATTAGACTGCAGCTGGGTTCATCCGCGGTAGAAAGCTACGTTTTTGTTAATCACGATTCTTGAGTAAAAACTCCAGTTGACTAGGTTCACACTTCCTGCAGATGCAAGATCAAAGCCAACTACACCAGAGGCTACCTTGTGGTGTAAACCACCATCCTCAGAGCTGCATTCACTTCGCTTCACTTTAGGCAAGACCAAAGGCCAAGGGCTTGACAAGGAATAAGAGCCCAGCGAAGCGACAGTGGCCTGGGTTGCAAAGGGCTCCCCGAGACCCTGAGATTGGGGAGGGCCGGTCTGGGTGGCAGCCTCCCGCTTGGTCCCCGCCACCAGGCTCCTTTCCTCGCCCGGTGGCGGCGCTTTGCTGCAGTCCCGGAACCTGGAATCAATAACCAGCCCGCGCGCCCCCATTCTGCCACCATTTCCATGGAAACCGCCTGAGCCACTTCTTATTGGAGGGCTCGCAAGAACCCGGGCCGGGCGCTCCTGCTCGGCTCTGCGGCTTCTGGTTCCAAGCCCGGGGAATTTCGCTCCAGCCGGCTGGCAAGCCAAGGCGCCCGGTTGGCCCCGAAGCCGGCCCCGCGGGCGACTGAGCATGAGGCAGCCGTCCGGCCGGACGAAACCTCCGTAGTCCGACAGCACACGCGGGAGAACGAGGAGACGGCGGCGGCGGCGGCGGCGGCGGCCTGGAGCTCAAGGAGCGAGCGCCGTGGCTGCGCGGAGTGAGCAGCCGAGAGGTGCCGGCAAAAGGCGTCTGGCCGCCGAGGAGCCGCCGCCGGCGAGGGCATAAGCGGGCTGGAGAACTGGACCTTTTGTACAGCTGAACGCCAGGGACGCCGCCGCCGCCGCCGCCGGCTCCTCCTCCTCTTGCTGCCAAACCAGTGACAGCTCAGCAGGCGAAGGACGCGCGAGCCGAGCCCCTCGCGCCGAGGAGCCGCCGCCGCCGCTCCAGGTCCTTCCACTCAGGCGGGGAAGCAGCTGCAGCTCCGCTCTTTCCCCACCCGCTGCCTGGGCTGGCGCTGGGATGCCAGCGCGGGTCCCCGAGTCCCGTGGCAGCGACAGCCCGCGCGCCCCCAGCCCCGCCAGCCTCGCTGCGGTAACCGCTCCAGCCGCCGTCACCGCCTCCTCCGCCTCCGAGCCGAGTCCGAAGGGAACGTCGCCCCCGCTGCTCCGCGCCGAAAGATGAAGAGGCAGGGCTGGGGGAAGCCCAATGCGCAGCTCCTCCAGGATTGGGCGCGGAGCAAGACCGGCGACGGCGCAGCTGAGCGCGGAGGGCACCTCTTGGTGGGAGCTATGCCGGAAAGTGCCGGGAGCCCTGGCGGGGCCGAAGGAACCCAGACAGCCCTGGAGTTGGAAGTCCCGTCTCGGGGAAGCTCTCCGTGCTCGGAGCAAGGGCCCGGGAGCACTGAAGTGTATCCCGCAGAAGGATTAGAAGGCTGTCCGGGGGAGGCACCGGTGCAGGTAAGGAGGTGGGTCGTCCAGTATGTGTTCCGTACAGGAAAGGGACGGTTGGATGTGATTCCCTGAGGAAAGATCTTCCATGTTCGAAGACAGTCTAGCTCTGAAAGTGTAGGAGGATGCCAGACTTGTGACATTTCAAAAGCAGTTGGTTGTCTTCAGATAGGAACAGGCAGGTTTGTTTCTGCCTGCAGAGTTTCCCTGCCTTCCTGTCTATCTGTGCCAGATAGTCCAGCTGGAAAGAGTCCAGCTTCAGCTGATGGGCGGCAATGTCTTACAACGTTAAAGGCTGATGGTGGCAGGTAATTTGGACCATCTTCTGAGATGTATGAGATGCAAAAGTTCATTATTTTTTAGAGCATAAAGGACCAGTTCATTGACTGCCTCTCTATCTCTCAAGATAATTTATTTTAATTGCAAGCACTGAAGCCAAAAATAGGACCTGGAAGCGTTTGGATCTTACTAAGGGTAGGAGGCAAAGGATTGCTGTTGGTTGCTGCTGGAAACAGAATGCTGAGGATGGAGTAGATGGACCTTCCTCTGATCCTGCATAGCTCCTCCTAGGTTGCTCCCACTTTATTCTGGATTTTCTGCCCTTGGTAACCAATGCAAAATTATAACTCTCTTCTTTTTCATGGGTGGTGGTGGGGTGAGGTGTCTTCTTATTACAAATCTGTGACTGCAAGGAAGGATGTGGCAAACCTTATAGGCAGACATTAAGGAGGAACCATATTTCCCACATGGCATACAAGCTGCAGCACCCTTGCCATTTAAAAATCCGATTGGAAGGACCTTCTAAAGCTAGAAGAAACCCCCTTATTTTCTGGAGAAGCTAAAGTATAGCAAAAACACAGCAGTGTCCATTAACTATTATGGCTACATGCAGCTGATATGTTCAAAAGCAATGTACTAATGGATGGGAAGCAACCATAGGAAGGAGAATCTGCCTTGATGCCTTGCTGGCAGACCTTTTTGCAAGCACCTAGTGGCTACACTTGGTTGGCTTTGCTAATTTATTTATTAATCATTCCAGCTAGCACATTAACCTTAGGATGGGGTAGGATACAATCCATAAAATAAGGGGGGGGGGGTTAAAACACAGCAATTACCTTACTAACATAATCAAGAGACACAGATGTTGACAAGAATCAACAGGGCATTACCAGACTGAGATTATTAAGTTCCAAATGATAGAGTGAAAAGTCTTTACTTGTCAGAGAAATGTAAGCAAAGTGGCTGCCAGTCTGGTCCCCAAGAAGAGACATTTTTTTCTGGTGTTCCACAACAGAAGAGGTCCTTTTCTCTGCCCCCACGTAATGCACTTTTCCTAACCTTGAGATGCCAAGGAGGAACCACCCTGCAGGTCTTAATTTTCAGCCAGGCATATACTGGGATAGATTCTCCCTCTTAATGTTGGGTTCCTAAACTGTTTAGGGTTTTAAATGTCACTGGGAAAATGTTGGACATCTGTCCGGTAGCATGTGAACAGTCAGGGCAGTTGGCTTTGAACTGCTAGTATTATTCAACATGCTAAACCCAAAAGCCAGGCTAACAAAATGCAATTTCTCTGCATTTTCTCTGCTATACTCAAATAAATAAACACATCACATTATGGATTAATGCAATGAATTGAATTCATTCAAAATGCTGAACCCCAATCTATAAGCCCCTCTCCCCGATTTTAGTCTAATTTGTGCAGACTAAGCTATTGAGAAACAAGGAGCTGGATCAGATAAAGAAAGAAACCTTTTGACCTGATGCAGCCAAGTTCCCCTTATATTCTTCCTGTGCTAATCATATTTTACATTTATGTGCTTTAATGTGCTCCACCAGCAGACTAGTCAGAAACACCTATGAGTGATCCATTTTAAATGAATGAGATTAGTAAAATGGATAAGGGTGTTTCCATCTACTGCTATCCTCTACTTGTTGAAACGAAGGGGGTGTGTGTGGGGGGGGTGCCTCAGCCCAACCCACCTCACAGGATTGTTGTTCTGGAGAAAAATAGACAGAAAATATGCTATATATTCCACTTTGACTCCTGGAAGAAAGGGAGGATATAAATACAATACTCATTTGATATGTAGTGTTTGAATATATGTGTATATTGTAAGGACTACTAGATTTTGTTAGACATATATGCAAATCTATCTTCAAAACATGTTCTTTTCATTGATTTAGTAAGCTGTTGTTGCTATACCCATATTACAGAAGGTGTGTAGAAGCATCAAAGCTTGGTGAAGAATGGCTAGATGAAATCAGGGCTTCTCCTTAGTCATTATGTCATCCCACTTTTTGGTAGTTGTCCCAAGGGGGAGATGGGGAGGGGGCAGGGGGGATATGTTTGCTTTAAGGTCACTGGAGAAGGAAGAGTGAATTTCAGATTCCCAAATCAGATTTACTCCTTGTCTCCCCAATCAGAAACCACAAAGCAAAACTCAACAGACCCAATGGATATAAAACAAATTGCACACATCTGTTCTTATACTGCCTACTTTGGGGAGTGGCTCTACTTCAGGGTCTCAGATACAAGAAGAACTTTCTAAGTCCAAGCATCCTGGATTTAGCTCCAATCCTTTTGTAAAAATGAGCATCTGTATCCACCAAAAAATGCAAGATGTTTTGCTATTTATGTGATTTGGGCTGTTCTCAGGAGAGCAAAAGCAACTGTTACATTCCCAAGAAGCTTACTGCATTGGACACTATTTAATGGGGGAAATAGTCTGGATTCCTTGCAATTACAATGTCACACAAAAGAGGCGGGGCCCTTGAGGGATCCCTGCATTGGATCAAAGCACCCTGGTTTTTCATGAGCTCCTTGCCCCTTGATTCTAATCTAGCTCCATGCTTTTGTGTAAATGAAGGCACTTTTTCTAATTGCTGAGAATGCATCCTTGGTCTTCGAGAAAGTGGTTGCATGCTGGGAGTATCTGTGCCAGTTGGGTGTCATTTCTTGATAGGATTTGAGCCCCCAACATGTTCAATTTTAGAAATCTAGCACAATGAAAAATCTGGGATAAATAAAGCATTTTACTTTGGATTTCTGAAATGACACTTTCTGATCTGTGTTACAATTCATGACTCTTTCAACATCTAGTTCCTTAGATTTTAGATCAAGTAACATGTTGCATGGTGCTTACCAATTGATCAAGCTGATACCCCACCCATCTCTCACACATGAGAAGCTGGCTGAGAGTTGATCTGGTAAGACCTGGGAAGCTGGCTTTCTTGGTTACTGTTCCTGACCTGTGGAGCAACATCCCCACCCTCACCCCCAAAACCTATATGGCCCTGAGCCGGCTGACCTTTAAAAAGGCCTTGATGACCTAGTGGTTCAAGAGACACTGTGCCAGGATATTGTGTGAGCCAGTAATTTATTAATATTTATGTGAATTTTGATCATGTGCTATAGCAGGGGTAGGCAACCTTGGCTCTTTTATGACTCGTGGACTTCAACTCCCAGAATTCCTGAGCCAGCTGGCTCAGGAATTCTGGGAGTTGAAGTCCACGAGTCATAAAAGAGCCAAGGTTTCCTACCCCTGTGCTATAGGGTCTGTTCTTTTGGGAGGGGGTGGGGGGTGTTCTGGATTTTTTTTAAAAAAAAAATCTTTGCCACTTTTAATGCTTTAGGCAGTTGTGAGTGGGCAGCCATAGCAATAAAATAAAATATATCTGGATTTCAGTTTTTCACTATATTGTATATTCTGGCTTCAATGAGAGAGCAAAATATTTTCCCAAACTAAGAAGCCATCAGATACTTTTTTTAGCAGCCCGGAAGGAGAGAAGGAATGAAAGAGATACTTAGTGGTGCTTGAGGGCAACAGAAACCCTGTTCTTACAGGTGCATTCTAGTCTCTCTTTAAACAAGTGTTTGAGAGAAGCTCCCTTTGAAGTCATAGACGCTACAATGGAAGATGTTTCTGCAATGGAAAACTGTTCATTGGGATTAGAGAACTGGATGCTAAAGGGGATGGTGGCATTGTGGCTGCATTCATGGGTGTGGGTCAGATCAACTTACTTTGCATTTGGTTTCTCAACTCTGCGCCTGGAAGGTCCAACTCTACAAATTAGAATGCTTCCAGATAGAGAGTAATTTTAATTGCTTCTCTTGATATTTGTTTTTTAAATTTATTTACTTATTTGAATCCCACCTTTATTATTTTTACAAATAAGTCAAGGCGGCGAACATATCCCCCACAACAATAACCCTGAGGTGGGTTGGGCTGAGAGAGGGTGACTGGCCTAAGCCCAGTTGGCTTTCATTGCTAAGATGGGGCTTGAACTCTTCCGCTTTCTAACCTGGTGCCTTAACCTCTAGACCAGGGGTGTCAAATTGCCAGCCCACGGGCCGATTGCATCATGCAGAGGCCACGCCCACCCCAGCTCCGGCAATGCGAAAAAAGTGATATGTCGCGACGCAGTGAGTTTGACACCCGTGCTCTAGACCAAACTGGCTCACCACCTTAATTCTACCTTTATTAATGTTATAGTAACTTGGGGTGGCGAACATATAAAATGCTTCTTCCTCCCCCCATTTTTCCCACAGCAACAACCCTGTGACATGGGTTGGGCTGGGAGAATTTTGCTTTTCCCCCTTAAATGCTTTATTTTCTGTTTAAAACATTCTTTTTATTCCCTTTATTCTAAAAGGGAAAAAGTGATGGGAAAATATGGAAAGATTATAAATCCAAGGCAACTTCTGCGTTAAAGTTATGGCTTGATTTGTGCAATCTAAGTGGCTACGTTAAAATGTAATTTGTAGTTCTCTGTGTTATGGAAATCCAGCCACTGTGTTAGCATGTTGTGTGAACCACATGGGAGAATATGGCAAGATGATTAAGGCTGTTTAGGGTTCTTTATACAACATGCTTAAGCTGGATACTGAAGTATAACATTTTCTAAATTTGTACATACCACCAAGCCACAAAACCAAACCAAGAAAACCACAAAGAAGAGGGAGTCAAGCTATTCTCCAAGGCACCTGAAGGCAGGACAAGAAGCAA